GTGGCTTATGGCCTTCCACGATGCCCAGATCTCGACCACTCTATTATTGTACAACATAAAACTCATAGTTAGTTAATATGGAATGAAGGGTTAAGATAAACATTATTGTCGGGGGGTCGAAATCTGTTTTTCGTAAGGGCGGAAGGGTCTTTTACTTTGCTTTGTTGGAATTTTTGTCGGCCCGCCGGTGGGCAGTACATGTTGCGATATGATGAGGGCTTCTCTAACTACCGTTGTAGCGTTTGGTAGCGCAATATCTTTACTCATTCCAAGAATCGCTATCGTCGTCTCGATCGTCATGTGTGTTGTCGGAAGTGTTTATTCGACGGAAAGGGAGATAACTTAGCTCAAAGTTGAAAAGGATATTACTCAATCTTAGCTCTAAAGACTCTATGTTGAGAGCTAGAAGTACGTCGGGGACACCACTGACAGGTGTTAGGAATGATTCCCCTTGGGGAACTTCTTGTCCAGGTGCTCGGCGTCCGCCATCCACTAGGCCAAGCCCCCCTAACTTTCCAAGGCTGAAGCGAGGAGTTTAAGGTTCTCTCCACATTCCTCAGCTATAAATCATATCACTCCTTCAATATCGAGGTACCTTAGATTATGCCTGAGTTGTGTTGAGTGCTAAGGTGGGGGCATTCTATGTATTTTCTGCCCGAAGGTTTAGGGATAGTTAATGATGTCATAGGCTAGGCCGAGCATAAGTCAGGTATAAGTCTAAGGCATCTAAAGATTTAGGGAGTAATGTGATGGACTGCCGATGAAACTAAGGAACACGGAGAGACTCTAATACACCTTGGTTCAGCCTTGGAAAGTCAAGGGGGCTAGGCCTAGTTGAAAGCAGAAGCCGAGCAGCTGGACAAGAGACGCCCCCCACGTCTTGTCTCTTCTTGTCATTAATTTCGTTTTATCAATTCGGAATCCTGGCACAAAGCAAGTTCCCCCACACTAATCTTCTTCTCCAGTTTAAGATTGCCACGAATCAGGTGTACAGTGGTGAGCTTTTTCCACAGGAGATGGCGGTTTATATTTCGGTTAACGGTGATCTATCAAGGCTATGGCTCAGGCGTTGAAACATTCCATCTCGTACTGTCCATGGCTCTTAATCTTGGATACTATCATATCTCATAAATACTAATTTTTGAAATGGCTCGTCTTGTCATTAGAAGATTCATGCTACTTTCTGGAAGGTTCCAATTATCTTCTAGATCGGTCCCTGTTCATTGCTAGAAGATTCCCAATCGCCTCTAATGGAGTCTCGAGCACTCCATCAGTATAAAGGGTTTAAAGAATTCAGAAAATATTGAAGTCGATAACTCAATGGGCATGAATAATTTTTTCTCTGGCAAGCTAATCTACTGCATCATGTCCTATCCTTTATGTCCTCTGAGTAGACTAGTATCAATTCCCCATCTGGTACGTAACCCCCTTGATACCTCCTTGTACGCGCCAGTCCCAATCAGATGGATATTCCAAGTACGCATACCCTGGATCCTACTGGAATATTCCTGTTTAGTTTGATAGGAAATCGAGCACTGTCGACGCTCATCAGCGTGGCTACAGGCATTATTCGGTTCACTAACCATCACAAAGATTCTCCTTTGAGCCTAGATCTAGATAGCCTGAAATCGACATGATTCTTACGGCTCTTACTGCTAAGGGCTAGGCCCGGTTGGTTGTGGTTATAGGGCCCATCTCTATCTTGAAGGCACAAGCGAGTTCGTCAGATCTACTCATTATACGGAAGTATTATCAGGGCACGTGTAAACTACAGGGGATCTAGAACAGGCATTGTGGTTACAAGGCGCCGTAGCTTCGCGCTCCTACATTCTTCATAGAAAAAGTAAACATTAAATTGTGGCATTTCTTTCGTGCAATAGTCGTAATTCCTAGCCCATCACACTTAGATGCCTCCGGCGCAAGACTCAGGTTTGAAAAGTTTTGCTCTCAAATATGTAGTTTATTTCATCATGTAATTTTTGGAAGTGAGGATAACGAGGCCTTTTCTGAAACTGGATGACTCTAAAAGCGATGAGCTCGGAGGGTAGGAAGGGAGCTCTTGAAATTTCCACATTTCATTTGACAAGTGTGCCTCAATGTCTCACAGAGGTAAATTGCAAAAGTTTAACCAAAAACTAGTGTCAATATCTAGAAGGAATCTCCTCTCAAGTGGTCCAGTCCCTGCTATCGTCGTTCAAAAAAGGTCCAGGATGAATCTCCAAGTCTAATATGGGTACAGGATTGATGCTCACAGCCATGATAATTTCCAAGAAACACACAGCCTGATTCCACCGTGCGAATCACTGTAAAGCTAGTAGCAATTTAAAATAGGCGCAGGAGTGACTCCTTGCCCCAGGATCGTCAAACCAAGCATAAGTCCAAGGATTTTAGATGGAGATACAATACTCCTCACCTCGCTACCAGTTAGTCATGTCATTCATCATGACTTATTGCATTCGATGTGCACCGGGAGAAGGAGATGGATGTGTGGCAGGGGTGGCAAAACATCGGGCTTCCTGCGCAAAGTATTTATAGTTCTCGGGGCACATTGATCCGAGCTGTTCGGTTTCGAGGGTGCTGTGTGACTGTGTGTTTGGTTAGTAGTGTATGAGGTTGGATGGAGTAGCTTCGAACCCACAAGTGCAATCTGTTAGAGAGTCAAGGTTGCTGAAGCGGCGTCGTTACATCTAGTGCCGTGAGTTGCGAATGGCCGAGGATCAGGAGTTCGCTTGGCGTTACCCGCTCCAAAAAACCAAAAAAATGATCCGGCTCGATGCTGGAACGCAGCCCGACTATCTTACTAGCCTCTGGAAATATTACAGTTGCGAGTAGATTGAGGGCGTCGTGTAACAATCGTTAGAGCGATTCGAAGGAGGTCAATAGATTAATGAGGTTCTGTATATTCATTGTGTGTAGAAATTTGATCTTTGCGGATTTCGACTTGTCCTATCGATAGATCATGTATTTGATGCTGCCTCCATGGACACATACCATCTACCCCTAGAATAGCAGAACTGGCTATCCACAGTTTTGTATTTACTGCCACACAAGCTATTGCCATCTTATTCCATCACACTTAATTCTATCAAGCTCTATTCCCTCCAGTCCATAATTATCGCCGTGCACTAATCTACGCAGTGACATGCAAGGACACCCTCGTACAATGACTGGAACACAACAAAAAACATCTACCGATAGCCGACGGGCAGATTCGACGAGACTCTCTCAAACTTTGCAGAGACTTTGATGTAATTGCTGTTAAGACGATAAGTTTGGGGCTGAGTATGCGAGGCAAAGTTACTTGCAGGATGGAGGGCTCTTTGATCTATTAATAAATACTGGCCGAGGATGCTGCCAGCTCGCATTAGAGTCCGATTGACGTCTAGATAGTGCTGCAAATATAGAGATTTGCTGCAGCCTCGTGGCAAGCTGTCGCGATGTCTTTGAAGGAAACGAGTCAGAGTCATGATCTAGGACGCTGGATCCTAGGAAATGTTGGATACGGAAGATGGCTCATTGCACCCACTTATCTGCATCGCTAGTTCGCAGACGCCGCTGAGGACGGGCATGACCATGAAGCCTGAGCTGGCGTGAGCTACACCACAGTTATCTTATACAATCAGCTGAAGTGGGTTCTTTGAACCAACCGGCTGGGCCTCCGCTCACACGATTTACCGTAGATGAATCGGCAAAGTCTTCATGATGCCAAAGGAACTTGGCGCTCTACTCCACCCGAACCCACCACTGATGATAGTGTTGTGCGGCAATGGATGAGAAGAGTTCTTTGGAATATTCAAAAGCCTTTTTGGATGCTTGGCTAGAGTGTGTCTCATGTGAGCACTTGTTGTCATGGCGAGACATTTTCGAATCATGGAAGGCTGTGGGGAAGTTTCGTAGAGAGAGTCAAGCTCTTGGGATTAGAGGGTGATTTCTGACCATGTACTAGATCGACCCACTCATGTTGAAGTCATAATTGGAGTCATCACTTGGTCTTGCTTTGAGAATGGTTTAATCATACTAAAATTCCGACGGAAATCAAAGAAGCTAGAGCTGCCATAGAGGAATACTCCACCTTCTCAACTTGTAGCATTATTTATACTAGTAATACAACTTTGCTTGCTCTCTCGTTTCCCTCGTCCGTCTCATCTAAACCTCCCGGCACTACATGTAATTCTACATTGATCATCCCTTTTAACCTATCATCCATGTGCACTCAATACCCTAGTAATCACCAAATACCTTCTGCAGACAGCGGTCTTAGGTTAATCCCGTGTCCGCCGTAATCCCCGCTACCATTTGATCACTTGAGGCACAGGTTCGAAGGAAGATTGGAGGCTAAAGGTGGGAATTGAAACTTATCTATGTGATCTAGATGTGTGGTAGTAGACACTCAAGATCCGTCGTTGAGTTGTTGCGAGCTAAAGATTAGCATTCCATGTATCAGCATGCCCCTTGAGCCATCTCCGTTGACAAGGGTAGACCGATATAGACACCATCTGATCAGGGGAGTCTTAGTTCCATGACTAGCAATGATCGGTAGGATCTTGCCAAAATAGATCCAGTCGTAGTAATCCAGGGTGTTTCCCTGACAAGTACTTATTGAAGACAACGGCCTGGAGGGTTTGGGCAACACGACTCCAGCTAAAATCGACTCGAGCAGGTCAAGACGCCTGTAATCCTTAGGGATTAGCAGAGAAATATTGGCATTGTGTGTCCCTAAAGAGAGATGCCGACACTTGGCCCGATGGATCACCATGGTTTCCTTTTCCTAGTCCATCAAATCATCTCTCCTCCGCCGTAAATTCACAATAATCTCGGCCCGCCGACTGCCTGTTTGGTCTGGGTCCCTGGCATTGAAACGTTGATATGGCGGGAATTTCCATCGTCACAAATCCACGCCGCGCGCTTCTCTCCAACACACGAGTAGTTCAATTCACGATAGGTGGATTTGTCGAAATTTCGTCCATGGCACCACAAACCCAGAAAATGCGCGTATATATATCCAGCTTCGCACTGCTCTTGCTCTCTCCTTTCACAGCAACCGAAATCCATTCGCCCTCGGCTCGTTGATCGTCTGCCCTGGAAAATCTCGTGTCGCTGGCATGCATATTTGGTCCGGCATTCTAGCTGTTACGGCTGTCCTTCTATATTCCATTCCCACTATTTACGCCCATGGTGAGAATATTGTGAGCCGCGATAGTGAAATTATATGTGGACATAAAAAGTTTTCATACTTGGAAGTAACGGCGTCCACTACTGTTAATTACCATAGCGGTCAAAGCTTTCCATTCAAGGGAAGAGCGAGATGTGGTACAGTTGGAGCTGCGATGTGGAGGACACCTCTCCATCGATACGGTTAGTTTTGAAGCCAATCACTCTGAAGAAATTGGCTAACGGCTCCACTGATAGGCAAAAAAAAAAGTACAGGATGCTTCGTTATTTTCGACTCAAGTTTTAAAATAGTGGATATAATTTTCGACTTGAAAAAAACTCGATACAAGCCGTGTTATATCCACAGGCAGAATGTGTGTCCAGATAACCGGGGTAACATCGAAGACGGGGCACCCGTAGCAACTCACCCTGACGATTATGCTAAAAAATCATTGTATCACAATGATTTTAGTAATGGTATGGTGGGCAATGCGTATGTGATGGGAGTATCTTGGCTTAAGCCTTGTGGAGTCGGGCCAGCTTTTCTTAACGAACATGACCAAACCATTACATTTTTTCAACACGGTTAAAAACCCGCTCACGCTAAAAGCTAGCTCGACCTATTCCGGCTGTTATTCCTCTCTCTATCTTCACCAGGAAATGCAAAGCCCATCGGCACAACGAGGAGTCATTGCGTCCTGGTGAGATGTGTCAGATTCTTCGAGACGTGGTTGTAAAGAGTCGCTGTTGCTACTTGGGTGATTGTAATTTGATTAACAAGCCAAAAATCATTTAACCTCGTAGAATCTTCTATTTGTCGCAAAGCTCATACAGTGAATCATAGTGCTACCTGCTCAGTACCTCTTGTCTTTGCACTCTCTTCCTGCCGCGGCCCACTTATGTTGGCTTACGGGTTCCGGGCCCGCTAGCCGGCAAAGACGAATTCTTCACCTTCCAGCGGTGCCGGTGTAATCACTCATTATGCTTTGCATATTTGGGATGGCTAAGCATAATCTTATCCGAATCGAAGTCTAAAGCAAATCGAAGCATGTTTATAACCGACGACTGCAAATTAACTTCGGTATAACACTCTCACATGAGACTTCCGAATTACTTACACCGCGTTTCCAATTGCCTCAACGACTGAATAAATAGTCGCACCATTTGCAAACAGGTATTCACCTCACCAATTTCCGGCCATCTACTACTGTGAAGTTACAATGGTGTGTATACCTATGAGGAAAAATGGATTGTGACATGTAAAGCTCAGGTTTTGACTCATATGAGACCGTCTCCCTATTGGGACTATACTACTCGAGAGAGGGCAAACAGCCTAAACGTGGATCGGGAGAAGGAAGATGTTATCAATGGGCACGCTGACTGATATTTTGAGAGGTTTTCGACTTTGTGATAGTTTTGTGCGCCAAGGCTAGGATATCGGATAGTGCTACTTGAATATAGGAAATACCACATTTGCTTCGGTGGATAGAGGTATGAGAATGTAACTTCGTTCATTACGACAGCGAATGGTGCAAGTCAATGTGTTGCCGTAGAATTCCATCTCTTGATCGATAATATCGGGGAGCTTAGGCTAGACACAGGGCGGCTGGACCTAGGTTTTTTTTTCATGCTTGTTTTGATTTCACTATCTTGGTTTGGCGCCCTTTGGGCCCATGCTGGTGTCTACAATCTGTAATATTTATACGGGAGGAAAACATTATGGTGAAAGCCCCCCAGACCTTTCTGCTTGTTGTCTTTGGTTTTCACATATTTTCTTCCGGAAGCGCAGTTGCACAATATTGCTATCCGTGTAAACCAACCAGATCATCTCTTGCCGCCCCAAGCATTATTTGACCTTTTCCTTTCCCTCAAGAGCATTTCGACTGCCTTTGTCATCTGAAACTGCTCTATCCAAAAATGATTTAGGATCCACTGTGTGATCCTTTTGATGTCTCCAGGATTGTTTATCATCGCTTCGTAGGACCGATCTTTGTCTTGTCTCCGGATCTCAGCCCTACCATTTGGCTATCGGGGGCAGGACATAATCATATGCTTGGGGTTCTGCGATTGGTAGCCACATGGACAGCTTAGGCTGTGGACTCCGGGTAATTTTCTTCTATTTAAATACGAGTTGAGACCCATGTGCTCACTTCGTATCTGCATCGCCAAACTGCTTTGTGCCCTTGTCAGGCTACGGTGTAGAAAGGATGGCGAGTCTTGAAAACTCAGTTTTTGCCATCCAGATTCTCTGTTTTGGTTGAAATTGGCCAGAATCCAAGTTACGGGTTCTGCAGTTGCTAGCTGCCGTGACTTTCGAATTTGTTTCTGCTTGGCCCAGGATTTCGCCCACTCTTGGTATGCCATAACTTTCACTATCTCTGCTTGTATCTTCTTGTTTTGTTATTCACCGCACATTCCCGTCCAGTGGCAAGATCTATTCTCCTGTTAATTATTTGTATATCTTCTCTCCCTTTTTTGGGCAGATTAATTTTGCTACAGGCGGACTGGATTTTCTTCTGGACAGGTAAGTCCTTTGAGAGACCTAAATATTGAAGCCATTGTTGCTTCAAGAATATTTCCATAGGAAGGGTGGCCGTTTCGTGTTCCAGTACTCTCATGCTGATGGACTTGTATGCTCCTGTGAAAATTCTCAGGAAATTCCTCTATGTGCTTCTGAGAGGTCTAACTATCCTCTCTGCTATTTTTTCAATCGGCCCGACATCGATCAAAGAAGGTGACCCTTTTTTTTCGTGTTATTTCTAGTCCGTAGAGGGAGATTATTCTCAACACCTGTCGGTGGTATCCCTCACGAACCTTCAGCCCCCAGCGTAGAGTCTGCGGAGCCGAGATTGAGTAACAAAGTCCTCACTTCGACGAGGATTCCCAATCGCTTTCGCGGTCTGTATCGTCTTCATCTCTCAACACATCCCCCTATCACCATTATCATGAATCTAACCACGATCAGATCAGATGGTGGGGTCGGAGCCCTACCCACCACCATCACTTGATCACGGAGGAAAAGCCATCCGATGAGTTTCCGGAGCGTACCCAGCACCCGATGCGGAGATGGTGGATTGGATCAAGTCGGCCTCGACTGTTACAAAGACGGGAGATATAGATGAGTATGCGCGACTCATGTGGTCCCAGTGTCTAGGCCACGCCTGACTGGGGCTGCAGGTTTTTTGAGACGTTTTCCGGCGCACGCAGTTTCCAATGCTACCATTTTTAGGGTAGAGGGTTTCGTGGAAAAGATGGCTTAATTCCACGGATAAATACTGAGCTGAATGGCTATTCATCACGGGCAATATATGAATGATCTTTCAAGTGACTAAATGGCATAGGAACACTGTACAATGTTTGGTCGGGCCGGGAAAGGAGCCCAGTGTGATTGATAGTCTGACATCCGAGTAAGATAATAAACATACCTCTCTCTGATCCGAAGTGGATTAGTCATCTTGGTAGAATTGAGACTTTCGGGATCCAATGTCCTTATCACGAAAAATTAGATGCAAGGCTTGTGCCTGGCATTTGAAAACAATAATCAATCCATCTGACGAAGGTAGGTTTTTTCACAAATTACTAGAACCAGGATCTGGTATTTCTTAGAGAGATGGAGAATTCCCTATCAACAAATAGTTACAATATTTTGTTCGAGTCACCAACTCGCAATATCAACCAAAAATATATCGCATTCGATTGATATCTTTATCCTCGGGTACGGCATACTATCCCAACGTGATCCTTTTTTTTTGCATCAAATTTTAATTGCGTATGCAGCTATCTAGCTATGACACAATATCAAAGAAAAGTACAGAAAAGATGATTCAACGTAAAGGAAGAGCACTCATACCTCGGATTTCATTTGCAAGTACCACTGCGAAGTTATGGCGGCTTTTTCTTCACCCCAAGTCCACCCTCATCCGTGAATACCCACCCAGGGGAACGTCTCAAAAACCCTGAGTTATCCAGACATGCCTCCATCATCTTTCAATTTTTCTACGCGCGATATGCGATCTGAGATGTCTCCTTACCAAGTAGAGTAGGTGCCCAGGCTACTCAGACTATACCGGAGAACACCACCAGGAGGCGAACTACGGCATCTTCCATCGTCGGCTTATGTTTATAGTGTCAACTGCACTCTCGCAAGCGAAGTCTTGGCGCGCACAAAGCTCAATTCGTGAAACTGCTTGCCAAAATTCGGAATTTCACTCCCTTCAAGGTTATATCCTTCCTTTGCATCATCTTGTTAACTTGTCCTGATCCCTCTCACGTCCATCCCAAAGAACTATATTCCAAATTTGTGCGCCACGCTTTGCCTTCTCCGCCGTGTGTAAATATCGGCGTGGGCGTGTATTTGTTGGTCGAGGCCAGAGAAAGTCGATGAGAGGTATGGTCATTGGGATGAGGATGTACTAGGTCATACTTGTGGACTTGATGAGACTTAGGTAGGCGTCAAACTCGTTGGGAGCGGAAAAACGACGTGGTGGAGTAATTATAAATTTTGCCTCGTGGGCCAACTTCTTTGACATTGCGAAATGTGACTGAACTCGGCTCTGGTATAATATTTCACTCCCAAGTTCGTAGTGGACACCGCGTACAGGTGTTCAGTATTGCCCTCCAGTTGAGCGTTTACATAGGTGCTAGCAGAATTTACACAAATTTCCAACGCCCTCTGCATGGGTTTGGACCATTCTGCGATGAGGCTAATTTGCCACGTGATTGGATTTACGAGGCATCATCTAAACTCGCGTTTCCAATCGATAGGCCAAGCGCGGCTTCCACAATCTTGACAACCCGAATCATGCCGATACGATCACCCTCCCCAGCCCGTGGTAGACCTCGGGCCAGATCTATCTACTCTGACCATGGCCGAAAAGCTTCACGCTCATCTTCTAGACCGCGCCGCTCAATATCCCCTCGCTCAAGTCCAAGGAGGACCAGCCGATACAAAAGCGAGAGTAGAGGTCGCAGTTGGAGCCCTACCAATGAGCGGAGTCTTAGTCCTCCTCGAAGCACAAAAGTAGGTTTCACTAGAGTGTTGTCCCAAATGGTGCTAACGTTGCCAGATCGTTGTTGAAAAGCTCACAAAAAACATAACTGCTGATCATCTCCGCGAAATTTTCGGTACATACGGAACCATCCGAGACCTTGATATGCCTATGAATCGACAATGTAAGTTAAGTATCCAGGTTGTTTGTCTCGTCGCTGAGATAAGAGAAGTCGATTTCAATCGTGGTACTGCGTACATCCTGTATGCAGCAGAAGTCGATGCCGAAGCCGCAATTGCGCACATGCATGAATCTCAAATAGATGGTGCTATTATTAACGTCTCTATCGTCCTTCCCCGCCGAAAATTCTCTCCCTCTCCACCAGCCGCTCGAAGAAGTGCCAATATTGATGCCCGACCTCCACTTCCCAACTTTCGTGGTCCACCGTCAAATAGACACCGATCGCCTGTTCCACCTTACTTCAGACCCGAGAGGAATTTTGATACATATCGTCCACCAGCTGCATCTCGTTCCCGCTCCCCTCGAAGGCATCGAACGAGGTCACGATCAGTCTCATCACACTCTCGCACACCACCAAGAAGACGAGGAGTACGGACCAGTTCTCGGCGAAATACCGGTCGAAGAAGAAGGAGTGCCAGCTATAGTAGTTACAGTAGTTATGAAGAACGAAGTCCCAGTCGCAGCCGTGATAGAGGCTACAGAAGACGATGAGTATCTCGGGAAAATTCGACCATAAAATTGGGATAATTATCCCCTAGGCCATGCTACTCAAAGCTCCAAAAATATATGACCTTGCCAAAGCTCTGGGATAAAGTGTATTTGTTGAAATATCATGTTTGATTCTCCTTGAACAATGGCTCAGGTAATTCATTCTCGCAATCACATATATTGACCATGTCATGGATCAAAACTATCGTATCTAATTTATTCAAATTTTTAATCTGGTTGGAAGTGAGAGGAAGTTAACATAAGTTGATGAATCCTACTATAATCACAATTTCACGGATAGCTGCTCTCAATTCTGATATCAGTCTCAGCTAAACAGATGAATTTTTTTGACTCCAGTTTCAGTAGAGCAAGAAAATTCTTAGAGGGGTACTGAGACACACTACAATGGGCTTATAGAATCAGCTACATGAAAAGATTGAAGATGAAAACATATCAGGTCAAAGTAGCCTAGTAAATTTAATGCCACCCAGCTATATCTATCACGGCTAAAATGTCTAGAAAAATAATGGTCTATGAACATAGCGTATCTTAGCATTTTTAGGTTTGTAAATGGTGTTGAATTCAGTTGGATTTCTCTAATTAAACATCCTATGCGGTATCTGTATACAGAACTGTGAGTACGATATGCTGCTTTGGTAAGGGAAAAAGTTTTTAACAAAACAAACCCCGATGTCCTGCCACTCTGAGCCAACCCGGCTTAATACTGAGGACGTTCCTTTCCACCGTGAATTCATAAACTTTCCGCATTATTCATTAACACTCCCTTCGATTAGACCAACGTTATGAGATGTTAAAGAGAGAAGACACCCCGTCACTCGGCGTGGGTCGTCGAAGTGTTCGAAGAGTTGGCCCTGATGGTGGTGCTATTGTGGCGGTGATTGCTGGTGCCACTGGGGCTTCGACTACCTTACGCGGTCATCCCGGCCCTCTTTTGGGTCCTTCAGTTTTCTTACTGTTGAATAAAGTGAATTCCTGATAATCAGTCGTTCTGACTGTTCGTATTAGCGCCATGGTTGGTTTCTCATTCGGGTTTCCGCCGTTCTCAATAGAAGCTCCATCCGAGCCTTGTCCACACTTCCCTTGTAGACCTGGTAGGTCCCACACGCTGATTTCTGCCATGAATAGTGTTCCCTTCCGCAGTTCACGCACGAAACACTTTTCCTCAGACAGCCCCTGGTTTGGTAGCACCAGCGCACTCATCGCAACTGAATGTCTTTCCAAACGATGCCTGAGTGTTCCCACTGCCTGCAGTTATAAAACTGCTTTGGCTGGGCCCGTAGTGACCACAATTGCTCGGTGTATGGCATGGCATTGATAATGAGGCCATATCAAACCACTTGCGTTTGCATTACCTCCGATGGGAGGCTGATCATAATTGATCCTCGACTGCGGCCGTTTTTCCTTGACCGCTGGTGTTCCTTTCCATCGTGTAGCCATCTTATTCCGTTAATTTAAGGCCTGGAATCCGAGCCTTAGTTATCGTCTCGATCTCTCTGATGATGGCGTGGTTGTTGGCATCTCTGCCACCTTCAATTCGATTGCAAAAATGAATACTGGATATCACAGCGGGAAAATAGTGTCGTAGAGTTTTAAATTCGTTGGGTTGTCGCATATTTAGTGCCGTGTCTCTCTGGAAGACCGACTGGACGAAAACCTCGGTGTCGTTGCTTCGAATCTGGCGAATCGCAAAAGCTCCTTCGATGTATTGTTGTGCCTTTAAAAGTAGCTCTTGCGGCTGCAATTTTACCGCGTCATCGATTCTAATTTGTGCTACCGTTTTCGTCAATTGTGGAGCTAGGACCGACGCGTAGGTCCTAGTCGGCAGCATCCCCTATCGCCGTCATCCTCTCCTTGACTGGAGACAGGTTCTGAGAAATCACTGTCCTAGTTTTCTTGTGGCAACTAAAAGGCTTCACGGCCTCATTAACATCTTCCACTGTGGGTAGATCCTCTTCATCCATTTCGCCCATCACAATAAGTCTAAGCTTGTTTTATAAAGTTTCCCAGAACTTCTAGATACTTATCCCATGGAACAGTATGCGCTCTGATGCCGTTGTTGTGGTGGCCATTGTCGTTTTTTGCGATACGTCTAAATCGCTGAATATACCCACACCAGTTATGTTGAGTCATGGAAAGCGAACAGGTGAGAGGAGGGTAAAGAAGATGAAAATTAAGATCAAATATTTCAAATTGAGAGTAAAGGTAGCTTAGAATTCTGCGCAACTTTCTGGCCAAAATGATGTTTCTTTGTGAATGCAGTTAATGACGTTTCAAAATTAGGTGGGTTCAAAGGATCACGTTGGAGGGCAAGACTGAACATCTGTACGCGGTGTCTTCTATGAACCTGGGAGTGAAATATTCTCTCAGAGCCAATTTCAGTCAAATTTCGCAATATCGAAGAAGTTGGCTCACGAGGCAAAAATTCAAATTACTCCACCATGTCAATCTTTCACTCCCAAAGAGTCCGACTCTCAACTAAGCTTCATCAAGTCCACAAGTATGACCTAGTACATCCTCATCCCAATGACCATACCTCTCATCGACTCTCTCTGGCCTCGACCAACAAATACACGCCCACGCCGATATTTACACACGGCGGAGAAGGCAAAGCGTGGCGCACAAATTTGGAATATAGTTCTTTGGGATGGACGTGAGAGGGATCAGGACAAGTTTACTAGATGATGCAAAAAAGAGAAACGTTTTCGACGGTCTTTAGAAATCGAATTTCGGAAAGAGTTTTACGAATTGAGATTTGTGCGCGCCAAGACTTCGCTTGCGAGAGTGTAGCTGACACTATAAAAACAAGCCGACGATGGAAGGTGTTGTGGTCCGCCTCCTGGTGGTGTTCTCCGGTATAGTTTGAGTAGCCTGGGCACCTACTCTACTTGGTAAGGAGACATCTCAGATCGCATATCGCGCGTAGAAAAATTGAAAGATGATGGAGGCATGTCTGGATAACTCAGGGTTTTTGAGACGTTCCCCTGGGTGGGTATTCACGGATGAGGGTTGACTTGGGGTGAAGAAAAAGCCGCCATAACTTCGCAGTGGTACTTGCAAATGAAATCCGAGGTATGAGTGCTCTTCCTTTACGTTGAATCATCTTTTCTGTACTTTTCTTTGATATTGTGTCATAGCTAGATAGCTGCATACGCAATCAAAATTTGATGCAAAAAAAAAAAACGCTCAACTAGTCTTGCATACCTAGGACATTATTGAAGATTTGCATCTCGATTAAGATCGTAAACAAGCAGAAGCATATCTTCGTTGAACACTTCTCATCAATTTAGATCCTACCTATCTTACAGAAGTCCTCAAATTCTATCTAACCACGTAATACATCTTTTCAAAGAATAATCAGAGAGTTGTTTTAACTGCAAACGGGGATGTCAGCCCGATTCTGTAACCATATTAGGACTTGGAGATTTTAATTTAGCTCAGGACTTTAAATATTCGACAACTAATGCAAACGAGGGCTCGCCTCATCAATTTCCGGCCATCTCCCACTGAAAAATTACAATGCTGCGTATAATAGTGAGGAAAAATAAGTTATTACGTGTTAAGCTTTGGGTTCGGCCGGTGGGGATCGTTACAACCATGGGCTCTATAACTTAAGGGGAGTCAGATAGCTGGAACGTAGATCGGTAGAGAGGAGAGGGCGTCGATGCGCATGCTGGTACTAACGTTTTTCGAGAAGTTTTCGATTTTGGAATAGTTGTGGGCACCAAGACTACGATTTCGGATAGTACTATCGACACTGAGCCTAGAATTTTAGTTTCCACCTTTTTTCCAAGTTCGTATTGAATTGGTCATCTTGGTACTAACGAGTTTTTGATTATCAACTATCAAAGCTATTTTTTGGATTTAGTACTTCTACCCAGCACGTTTGAGTTTTCAGTCGACCAATTCAAAGTCACGGATAACGAAGGCTGAACAACTGTCGCTGGTGTTCTCCGCAAATATGGGAATGAAATATCCATTAGACCTGAAATTTAGCCTCGAGAAAGGGTGTACTCGAGAGTTTTCGTTGAGATGGCGATCGGGAGGAGTAATGTGTGGAAGTTTTTGTTTGAAAACTCGACCTACAGTGCTTTTGCGACTGCACAACCCAAAGAATCCAAATATTTACACGCAATATATTGACCACAGACAGGATCTTGCCTGTCTGAAGTTCGTATTAAAATAACTAACATTCTTCGTTGTCTTGACTTTTCCAGAAGAACTTTCCTAGTTAAACTCATCTCGTGACTTATTAAAGCACTCTAAAATCCAGAGGTCAGAGGCAGAGTCTTAGATGCAAGAAGAAGTAAGTCTCCCTGCAACAATCGCACGCTTTTGTGAAGGGACTAATCACATTCACTATTCGCATGAAAGTGTGTCGTAAATTAATTTATATTCTGTATTAAGAAAGAAGTACTACGAAAACTACTTGCTTATCTACTCAATACCGCGCGTCACGTATGGATTTATGCAGGAGTTATCCTTTACACAACTCCGTAATCCAGCCAAGCCATGTACTCTAAGACTTCGCGATAAATGAACCGGATAAACTCCGATTATAACTAAACAAGGCACTAGCCTGTAACAGCTTTATAGGTATGGTCGAAGTATCGGCTTCAAATACGATTACACCTCGGCCGATAAAAAATCAGCGGCGAAGAAATACGTAAAACGTTTCGCCGGCACATTTGCTTGAGCATTCGAACAAATCTAAGGGATCAATGCCTCGGTCTTGAGCTCTACGACTCGTATTAGGCCTCCATGGTTCGGGCTATGGCTGCAATATTGCAAGACCGGATGTATGGGTAGATGTCAAAGTTTCTGAGATGAATAGTTTGGCAGGAAGTTTTAGAAGATTCTGCAATGAAAGATAGTAAGGTACCAAAAATAGAGGAAATGACAGTGAAGGTCTGGATGAGGTCTCAACGAAAACTATACCCGGATAAGATGAGGAAATGCCGGGACGAAGTAGTGATGGGTCCAAA